AATAATTCAATTTGAGTCGTTCAGTGATTACTGAGTGAAGCAGCCTGAGTACATTCCTAGCTTGAGGGCTCCCAGAAAATGTCGCAATGCTGCCGATGGGCTTTGATGGGGTTTTGAGGAAGACCAGCTGCTCGAAGTCTTGAAGTCTTAATCTTGGGCTTTTTGGATACGGTCTGATTGTAGTTCGAGATGGCTCGTTTGACGGGGTCGCGCACTATGACGAATGAATGGATCAATTAGTGCATTTATTCCGTTTAATTTGTCCTACAATAATCATCACACTGGATAAAATAATTCAGTTTGACTTGTTCGTTGATTTCTGATGAGAATAATTTCTAATTTCACTTTGACATTTGAATTTTGCATGGGTAATGAAAATACGCGATCGCCGAACTTCGACAGTACGACGGAACACTTCGCGACAATTCGGATCGGGCGCGAATTTCAAAATACGATATTTAAAACCTTTTTACAGTGAATGAGCGCGATGCAACGATTTGAAAAAAATACTGGCCGATAGCCCTCTTCGACCTCCACAAAGCCATCACTCAATAATAGCTTTAAAGTGATCTGGGGAGATATTATAAAATAAAAACCAATTCGCATGTTAATTCCCTATATCCAGACTTGGATGCGGCACCCTGTATATAACATCGACCTGTTTTTTATTGTCAAGAGCATTCGCGGCATACTGAACAAATTTACATAGGTTGGTCGCCGTTCATCGGCCTTTTACAAATCCATGCATTCCCGCAAACAATTTAGTAAAATTGCTCAGCAAATTTATGGGCCTATAATTGCTCACATCATTCATTCTTAGATTCTAATTTGAAAACTGGACATTCTCACGAAACTTTTCATTTTTTGGGAAAATGTGCCCTATTTATAATTAAATTAAACATATATAAGAGAGGTCGTACGAAACAGGGTAAGCAATCACGTACCAGGAACGATGGTATGTTATCCGGTCCCATAGTAAGCGTATTTTTTAGTTTTCTTTCAGCAGCGTAGAAATCGTCACATCTTTTGCAAAATGATCGTCACATATTCGCCCTTGTCTTGGAATTTCCATAGCATTTAGTTTCTTCCATTGGAATCGCGCTTAAAGATTTTTCCGTGTTCTGAACGGTTATGACAATCTTTTATTCTGCTGCCGGTCATTTTTTAAATAAAACTTGACGAACGTCTGTAATCACTAATCAATGTCAGTTTGACAGTGTACAGCACTGCATTAAATTGCTTAAAATTTAAATAAATCTTGGAAAAAATGATCCACCAATTAAAATGTATTCCTTCGTTTCTCCTACCCTTATTGATATTTATATTATGTAGGTACACTAGAGGTATCGATGGATTAAACGCAAAAACTTTAAAAAACATAAAACATGTTATAGACATTTCATTAACTTATAGCACTATTCTGCGGGTTATCAAAAGCGTTCGATTGCTCATCAATTGAACTTCTCAAAGAAAAACTTGAAATTTGTAACTTTGAAAAACAATCAGTCCACATATCTTCAGACGTACTGTGGTGTACCTAAAGAGTGTGCCTTTTCCTGGTTTATATAAATATATATTAGTAATAGTCAAAACACCATTGTTTATGGTGTACTTATGTTATATGCCGTGTTATACCACGTAACACTTTAATGTTATGAACTTTGAAAAATTACTAATAGACATGGAAAAAAAATCTGCTGTGTTTAGTAACGAACTGAAAGAGTATTCCATTGGAATAAGAAAGATAACTTGGGTGTGAGCAATCTTTGAGTGACAACTGGGTACACCCAATATTTATTGAGCCTTTTTCTAACCATTGTTTGTAATAACACTAACAAAGCGATTACACACGCGGTTGTGACAAAATTCATTGTATACACAAACTAGAGATTGCGAGCTCTACTTTATATCCTGATTTCACATTTTTGGTCGCGGCGACAGAAAATCGCTTCTATTAGTGAAACCAGCAACAGAAAACCTTGTGTGAAATCACTGTGTAATTTTTAGAAAAAAAGCAGGTATGTAGGTTTCATAGAATGTGCTTTCAAAATCGGGTAATGTTATCTTTTTTCTTTAATTTGTTATTTAAGTGTTAAAAAGTAACATACAATAAGAACTGTCAATAAAAATGTAGCAAAATGATAACAAAAACGGAGTTTTTCTGGTTCGGTTCCACTAGCTAGTTTTGTCAAGAATGCATCAAAGTGTTCGCTTTAGTGGTGTCCACGGCGCAACGAACGGATTTCCAGTTTTGTATAATCCGTAATAACTATTATCCGTGAATTGATGTATATGTATAATTAAGTGTGGATCGCTACACGGATCTAGAATTCTTACCTTAACGGATCATTTTAAAATCCAAATTCTCCCAACTTTCGGAATACAAATCGTTCTAAATTTGTAACTTTGCAAAATACACGTCATTACAGTAAGTTTGTTTTAAAACTATTATTAATGATTTATAAATATCTAGGAAAATTATATTCGAGTTAAACTTGAATATTTCCATACTTCAAAAAAATTTGCAAGGATTTTTTTGGCCCAGTATCTTAGTGCGTGTAAGTTCAAATTAAATTCAAATTCAAATTACTTACTACACTCGATGATCTTGCACATCAAATTCAACAATCAGTGAATGAATGAACAAACGAATAATTACAACAATACATTGCTTCTACCACAGAAAGAAAATAAAAATTAATTCTAGTCGCATCAGAATACATTATAAAATAATTTATTTATTTGACACTGTTTATAAATGCTGCTCGTTTAATCAGTTCGCATTTGGAGAATTCTTCAGTAGTCTGCTCATTAATAATTACGTATTTTTTTCTAATTTCTTTAATTTATGAAAGCATATTTCTTTTCATTAACGATGCTGTGTCTAAAAAAGAAAACGAGAAAGAAAGAAACGTTGTATACAAATTTTCAGTCATTATGATTTTACATTCTGAATAGGCACTAATCTGAATCTGACCTCGGTATTTAATTCAGAAAAATTCCTATTAATATTTATTAATCTGGATTTTTATGTGTACCGGATCTGGTTTTAAAAACACGGATTATGATATTTTTATGTATGAATTCCTACATTGCAAATTCACTTCAAGCAAAAAAAACATTCTTTGCATTTTTACTTCCCGAGCGTAAGCGTTTTCTGGAGTACGAAGAAATAAGTCTCCTGTTTCCGTCTGTCTGTTTGTCTGTCTGTCTGTGTGTCTGTCCGTCTGCCGTCCCGGATTTTTATTAGACAGATAATCTCCGAAAGTACTGGGTTGATTGTTGTCAAATTTTGTATTTATGTTAGAAATATCATGCAAACCAAAATTTGTCTAGTCATCTCCACCAATAATGTGATGATGTTAATTCAAAAGTGGACATAGTAAGTGGGTTTTAAATTGTATAAAATAACATATAACTACACATGTACTTTATGAATCTGCGTTGAGCTTTTACCCGAAATGTCCAGATTTTTGAAAAAAAATTCAAAATTATAAAACAACATTTTGTGATAATTTAATTTTGAATCTGCAAAACTAAATGCTTTAAAATTTTGAAGATGTTTTAAAGTTATGATAAGCATATTCAAGATATATTTACTTATCCCCTCCGAAAAATTGATGACGTCAGTTCAAAATTTTGTCGAATAAATCCTATCTAAAATGTACGTATGATGTCTGTAACTGCGATTTTTCATTCCAGTCATATTTTCTGGATTTGCTTATACAGGGTGAATAAAAAAACATGACCAACGCGTGAAATTATTTTATTCATTTAATCAGGAACTACAATACCTAATGCTTTGACATCTTGGAGATATTTTAAAGTTATTATAAGCATGGTAAATATTTTATGAAAATGTATTTGCTCGTCCCCCCTAAAAAATTGATGACGTCACCTCTTAAGTGTGCAAAATCTGATCAGTCTACACTTGTAATTTATCACTGCATTCATATTTTTTAGATTTGCTTATATAGGGTCACTTAAAAAAATTATTAATCAATCGATTTATTTTAATGAAAAATTGAATTGATATATCGTAAGCATGGTAAATTGTTAATCAAAATCTATCTGTTTATTCCCCACAAAAAAAATCATAACATCATCACAAAATTGTGTAAAGGAAAAACTCAAGAAAATGCTGGATATCCTTCGTTGTGCGAGGAAAGTTCTGTCGAAACTTCGTTTGACCAATTTTTCTTTAATAAATTAATTACTAGTTTTATTAAATTTGAATACAAAAGGCGAATATATAAACGTAGATCGCACATTTTGTATAAGAGATTTGAATAGAAATTTAATTAAGAGAATATAATAAATCGATTGATTCACGTTATGGTCGCGTGATATCTTGGTTGCCTATGTGAATATGGTGCAGATCACAGCATAGATAACAATAACATTGATATCTATGCTGTGGTGCAGATAAAACAGTGAATTCTGAAATAGAAAAATAATAAAATTTAGCCTTTGCAATATTATTCATATTATGACTTAGATCTAGACTTGTTTTTGAGTTATTTTTCGTTTGCTGTTTCTGTTGACGCAAATAAGCTTTTAGCCCTCTAAAAATGCGTACCAAATTCCAGCTCTAATTTGCTCTGATACGTTCTACAATATGTTTCCTATGTTCCATATTCAACACATTTGCTTTTCGTTTTTTTTATGGTGTCTTTTACGTGAATCCCTAATTATTCACCTCAGTGGGCTGCGGTAGTGGAGATCCCTTCATTTACATTTATACCTATGTATTTTATGATAAGGCACCTATCAGTACATAAGTAGATAAGCTGTTAATGCACTATATTAGCATAAACCCATGTTGTAACGGTGTTTTGTGAAAGAAGGTAATATTTTTCAGTTTAAATTTAACTCAAGTACTTGAGTCAGTAAAACACTTGGCAATTAATCTAAAAAGATAAGGTAGTAGTGTAAACGATAACAAAATATTATTGTTGAATCATAGCAATGAATGTTGTTGATAATAGTAGATGATATTAAATCGTGTACTTCTAAGTTACATACTTCCGCCTAGGTCGTGTAGGTAGGCCGTAATAAAATGTATTTAACTTACATTTTAGTTTTTATTATCTTCTAATTATTGGGTTGTACAAGCATATGTACGAACTGGATTTTTGACAAACATCATTTTTTTTACTTGAAAACATAATCATAATCCCTAAAATGAAATATTCATGCTCCTGTCTTCGTTTTTGTCAAAAATGTCTTTTTTTAATTTCTGTTCTAATGAAAAAAATATAGAAACATTAAATTTTTATGAGTGCACATACAACAATTAAAATCATTGGAGAAGATTACCAGAAGACACTAGTATCAGTTGCAGGAATTTTACAATTTTTTGTTGTTGTGTTACCTTTTTCGAAAATTTCTCATTCGTTTTCATAAAGATGACCTAATAGTAAGATCAGCCAATAATCAAGAACATAGTTTAATACAACACTCAATTTAAAACCCATTTAATTTCAATTGCTGTTATGTATGTACCAAAAACCAAACACATATCATTATCCGTTCGAATTGATGCTGAACTATACCTCATTTTCTAGGTTCGGTATGGTAGTTATAAAAGAACTCATCATAAGCCTATGCGCAACAGTCCTAATGAAGGTGTCAAGCGAAAACATTTTAGAGCAGATTAAGCCCGAGAATAATAGAACGTACTTCCCAAATGGGAGTCCCAATATTACATCAGAAGGATTATTTGAAAATGTAAAAACCTTTACATTTATTCCAGGTATTTTTGCAATTCAAGCAGATTTACAAGCAGAAGGAAATCTGTATATTTCACTGCACGGTAACATTAGTGAGTTTAATTTCCGCATCTATGAAGAAAAGGTACCGAATCATCCAAATTACAAGTTCAACGTTACGTTAGAAACGATAGAGAAATGTTCTGATTTGGACCACTGTTGGCCCCTGTATCCCTGTGAGAATGCTAAGGTTATTGATGGCGTAAGTCTCTTTGTATATTAGCGTTTATATAGGAGCTTATTGGGAAATGCTTTTAGGGCAAACTTCTAGAGAAAGATATGGTGTTCATCTCATGGCAACTTGTTAACCAGACTGGCGAATTTATCTTGACTATATTGTTTCAGTATCAAAATCGTCTAGTTAAATGTGTAGATCAGAACGCAATAAAATTGAAGAAAGTTGTACTACAAGGCAAAAAATTACAACAATTTCAATCAAAAAGTGGTACGAGTAAGTTTTTACAAGTGTGCGTGAAATTAATGATTTGTTTTAGTGTTCTATAAATACACAAACACGGCAGACGTCAGTCATGTTAATTGTTCTATAGACAAAACGGCAGTAGCTATACATTATATGCATTGTGAGAGCTGCGGCTTCAAATTTGATTTAAATTGTAGTGAGGCGGGCACAACTACAAACAAATATAATACTACATATCAAGTAAGTCTAAACAGTAAATATATTAATGGCATTTGTTGTTGAATAGAAAAATAAATTTTTGCACTCATGACCTTTTTTGATAGCTTTCGCGCATTCACCAGAGTGCGGGAGGTCGAACTTCCCGCACACGTGCATTTAACTTCCCGTTGCCATGGTAACCTTAACATACTCGGGTAGTGTCAACATTGTGATGTGTTGACGGCGCTGTCAATGCCGTTGTTTATAAATAACTCACAGTTAATCTCTTCAGTTTAAACGTTTATTCGTTGCAAAAAATATTGTACACAACACGTTCGTGAGCCTGCTTCCCGCATTCACGCAAATGCGTCACTCCCTTCGGTCGTGCCGCAAACAAGCGTTCATGCGGGAAGCAGGCTATCCCGAACTAGTTGTGTAAATTACTATTTCACAATGGACAGTACTTGACTAAACACAGGCAAGTGTAAGTGTTACAATCGAACACTAAACTCCGTTTGTCGTTTTATGAAAATTTGGGACGGAAAGTTGACTATTGCGAAAACTACAATTGCAACTTATTAAATTAAATAAACTCAGTATAATACAGGATAATCTGTAAAATTTTTAAGTAATTTAAAACCAAATCGGATTTTGCTTTTAGTCTTCCCTAACAACAATGAGGTTAAGTTTATTGCAGAGATAATTTTCTTTATACGAATGTGCACCTCTTTATAAAGACATCGTCAATCTTGGACATTGTTGACTTAATAAACTTCATAGTCCTTGTACATGCGTTCGACTTCTAAACATTGAAAATAAGCTTGTTAGATTATTAGATTCACGCCTTTTTTGTCACTGATCTCGGAGATGATGGTTTCAGATACCTTGAAATCAGAGTGTGGATGATAACGTGATAAGACATAAATGAGACGTACGTAAGGTCGATTACACATACGTACCTATCTTAAAAGAGATTATGTTTTAAAAACAAATCTTAAAAATTTGTATTTACTATTTAAATAAAAAATAAATAAAAGAATAAATAAACATCGAATTTATTACAAACAAAATGTTATTTTGGTGGCGAGGTTTAGCTGCAATACCATTCTTCCACTTAATCATTTACAACATATCATAAAAACATTGTATATGATAATTAATTATAAAAAATGTAATATGTATCGACAGGACTAAATACAAAGAAATATCGCAATGTTAAGCAAAGAAAAATAATAACAAAATGCTAACAAATCTTCAAATACAAACTTTTTAAGTATGTAATACTTTACTGTACTTAACTCTTTGCTGCCTGGTCAACAGAATTGTGCAATATTATAGCATTATACATAAATAGAAGAAAGTTATTGAATAATTCGGCATTAATAACAGGTAAATCAGATCCGTAAAGTTTTTTCTTGATTTTAAAACTGAGAAAACGCCCGGTTGAATATAATACTTTTATTAACCGACAAAAAGTGGAACGTACCATAAGATCCGCATGTGATTTTAAACGTAAATTTTTAAGAACAAAATAATAGAACACGAGATTTTGATTAACACTGATTAACAAGTCATGATTGAATGAATAATAATAAATGGAATTCAAATATTAATTAATAAAATTAAGTAAAACGGTTCTACTTAGATAGATCTTGTGGTTTAAATTTTAAAATGAGGAAAGTGTCATCAGCATATGAGAAAATCTTGGAATGTTTGATAACTCTCTACATATGTACAAGGTAAACAAAAGCGGACCTAGGACACTACCTTGTGGTACATCTGAACACCAAGACATTATTCCTTTCAGATAGATAAAAGCTATTAATTTAATATAACTAATTGAGTCAATTATAACCGAGCTTACTAGTTTAGAGCTTGGTTTTTAAACGTTTTAAAATGGAAAAAGTACGTTCACATGCAGCACTGGATACTGGAATTTTAGTACTAATAACCGCTAGTTTGTAAGTTTCAATAAATGCACATTTATAAAATTTTAACATGTCTAAAAGGTCCATTATTGTGGTGATTTTCACGTTTTTTTTTCATTTTCATACCTTGTCAACGTTGTTGAACGTATCATAAGTTCTGATTTCAACAAATCCAAATTGCTTTGATAAAAAGTGCCTAAAGGAGTTAAGGCGTCAAAATTTAAAAATAAAGTATTGCTAGGATGCAAAGCTGCAACATCATCTGTGGGCAACAAGTTAAAAATTTACACCGGTATTCCTAGAAAAATTGAGGTGGGCACCAGGGTGGGCCGCAAAGTTTTTGGTCGGGCCATGGCCCACCCTGTCCCCCCCTGACACTGGGCAGTTGTCAGAGAGAAGTGGTTATACCGTGATACTGTCTCAAATCTGATAGTTGACTTGGTATTATATTATTTAGTTTACAATATGTTGGTGACTGTTGTATAAGAACAGTTTCCAAAGTTTTTGAAAAGGTTGGAAGAATACCGATAGGCCTCAAGTCATTTAGAAATTCAGGAGAGTTAACTATGGAGACAGGTCGAACTAACGCTCTTTTCCAATGTATAGGAAAATAACCACACTTAATGCAACAGTTGATTAAATGAGTAATATGAAATGGTATAATAGAAGAACATAATCTTATCATTTTTAATGAAATTTTATCTACCCCTAGAGCCTCAGATTATAATGAATGAATAATAATTGAATCAATAATATAAACTAATATAATATCTAATAGTGTGGACACCGGATGAACGTGTAGAAAGTAGATAGTAAAGTTATTTATCTCATTTGGATTAACAAAATTAGAAGAAATTTCTGGAGGTCCCTTATAACTGATATGCAATGACTTCCGAGATTTTCAAAACTGATTCTTATGATTCTGTTTAGGTATAAGTATATTCCAGATAATCTTTCTTTTCTTTCCGAAGAGATGCTGACGTAAAATTTCTAAGTTGCTTATATTTATTCCAATTTTCAACAGTCTGGTTTCTTTTATAACGACTATAAGCCTTACCTCACTAACCAAAAATTAATTTGAGTACATTTGTCAACCAAGGGGTTTTTGGTATATTAACTCTAATTGTACGAACTGGAGCATGAATGTCCACTGATAATGTGATCACTCAATAATTTAAGTTTTTCATCTATTGAGGTATATTATAAAAATTGTGGCCAACGAAATCAAAGTGAAAATCCTCGCATTAATCCGCTTGAAATCTCTAATACTGATAAATTTTGGTTTAGGTTTAAAATTAGTTTATGATCTAAGATTCTATCCGCTTTAACAGTACCCGTGCTCTGTATTATTTCAGGTTTATTTAGAAAAATGTCATCAGTTAAAGTGACTGACTTATTTGAAGTTGTAATTTAATCGAGGGCTAGAATATAATGAATTAATACAGAGGAATACTACTTGTGTCGTAAATTAAAGCGACTGACTGACAATTTGTTGGCAATAAATAAAACTCAAGTAGGCAATATTTTTTTATATTATGATATAAAATAATGTGAAAACATTAACAGCGCAATAGAACGGGTAACTCGAACATAAAAATAGTGTCTTTATTGAATAATTAAGGCAGGTTTGGCTTTTACAGGACGCCCCCGCTTTCTCTTTAATATTAATGGCTTCTAAGGGTGGATGGAGTATATTTCCGCCTGATCGACGTTTGTTTAAAATACACGTCATTCCCTGTTTGCTTACTTGGTGTTAAATACCTGATGGTTTCAATTAATGTTAGTGTTAACAAAAAAAACCTACACCTCCTCCTATCCTCCAAACTTTATTCTTATGGTAATGTTATCCGATAGCCATGTCTCCGTCATCGCGGAGATATCAAAGTGCTTCGGGTTAACAGTAATCGTACGTTCAAATGTGCAATTTTGAGATTGTTTAGGATTTTATCTGCTGTATGGAAATTTTCTGCGTATAGTGCATCTTTTTTAAAAGTGGCCATAGGGATTCCCATGTTAAATTTGATACCCCATGTTATTGTAAAACTATCGCTATTTGGAAGTGATAAAAGTTTAGTTAACGATTAGGATGGTTTATCCTTTAGTCTCTGCTGTAATAACTTTTTATACCACTAAATAAATACATCATTATCGATAGATTTTGACGAGTCTTCGGCATCCGTGTAGACGAGAATGTATCGCTGATGTTTAATCAAAATGCGTCCATTACTGCATTACTGATCTAGACGTTTTTACCATAAATTTTTCTAGACTCTACATAGCATTTTTACCTCTCCGGAACCGGATCTTCAGTGATAACAATTTTCATAGCTTTTTCTTCTATTCCTATGAGTCCTTGTACTGAATGTAACAACTACAGAATAGTTCTTTTGCGCTTCTTTTGTCGTCTACGATAAATATTAGTAATATCAAGGTCGGTCAGGTCGTAAAGACACGACTAATTTCTTATTATCTTTATTTTGTTCTGCTGGAATTCCGTAAAATATTAAATTTGTGGATCGGTTGTCTTCCTCTAAAGTCACAATTTTGCTGTGCGCTTCATCTATTTCGGGTTCAAGTTGTTCCAACTGTATTTATTTTCTAATACCTTGAACTGCTGGTCCCATTGTGTTTTCATTTGGGTAAACAAAACTGCTGAAAAGTTTTCCAAAAGCAGTTCCAATGTTAAAAAATTTTACAAACCACTGTGGTCATCATTAGCTGTAGGTATTAAGACGTTTGTCACTTCGAATTTAAACTTCTTTAACAATACAACTGAACGGGGAGGAAATAGTTAATGAGCTGTCGCTATCAAAAGTCTAGAGATTTAGAAATAAAACAAGTAGGAGTAATATAAAATCAGTATTCCGAATGTACTTGTTTCGTTTCGGATGTACCTCATAAAATTTTATGATAATACTAGCGGCCCCGGCAAACGCTGCTTTGCCATTAACATTATTTCTAGTGAATATTTTGGAAGTTAAATAAACAATCACATTAAAATAAAACATTTTGTCCAAAAAATTAAGAAAACATTTTTTGCGTGGGCCACCCTTATCACTTTGGGGTATAAAAAATAGTTCACGACCTATTCTCAGACCTACCGAATATACAGAAAAAATTTCATAAAAATCGGTTAAGCCGTTTCGGAGGAGTTTGGTTACAAACACTGAGCTCCTGTCGATGGTTTGGAGATGCAATAGATCCTATTCTTGGTTTATCAGTTACAGTGTCTTTTGAATCTACCTGGTGGTTAATCCAGGACAGCCTCTTGTAAAATGGCACCTATATAATTTTATAAGGTATGTCTTAAATGAAACAAGAGAACGTAAATAATATATAGATTTTGTCACAAAATGCGTTCCTATAATAAAAACTTTCTTTACAGTTTTCCGAATACTCATTGTCCAACCCTCAATTTAAATCTAATTTTGGAGGATGGAAAAAACATATAATTAAGTCCGAAGCAGGCTCTTGTAACCTGACAATCAACAGAACAAACAATGGAAACCCTACTAAAAACGACTACTGGTTCATTGCATTTATAGGTAACTGACTACGACGAAAAACCATAGTAGGGGAAAGATAGGTAAGAGTACGGGTCCACTAAAGGCGAAAGAAACGGAATGTTAGTAAGTGTCGTTAAAACGCTAGAATGGTTACTATTTAATCATTATAAAAAAAGTTTATTCCATTGCCCTTATCTACTTGGGCTAAAATTGTACCCCTTTAAAAATTTGGCTGAAAAGTTGTCAGCAATAAATGGTACATAACCTTGCTATATGTTGAGTTTATTGCATGACCAAAAATATTATGCGGATTCGGCCTCACGCGTCTGTCTATTGACTTTGACTAATTTTTAAGACGGTTTAACTCATTAAGGAAAAAGTATAAAGGACGAAGTGCGAACTGTCTCAGCAATGTAAACTTTTGGCACCAATGCAAGCACCTTTTATTGTCCTTTTCAAATAGAACGCTCTCTACCGAGCATGCTCACTTTGATAATGTTACCAAACTAGTCTTACCTGTGTCGTACGTTTCTAATTTTGTGATTTAGTTTAGTTTAGTGTGAACCAGTGTGAACGAGTGTTTAATGTTCGTTTAAAGGCTTTTTAAAGTGGTTAGTTGCAAATTGTGTAAAACTACAAGTAGGTCAAGTCAATAACTTGTAACATCAAGCCTATTCTTGAATGCGTTGAGAGATGAAGCTTCAACGGTAGCGCCGGGGAGGTTGTATGTCTTATTTTGTCGTTTAATATTTGCTTAAGAGAGATTAACGGATATTTTTGGATTGGAGACATGAATGAAGGAAACTGTGGAAAGACTTTATTTCTATACACCTGGAAAAATATGTATCCGTCAACAACCTTTTCCTTTGTTTCATTTTGAACAAAAATATTTTAATAGAACATCAACCCACAAAGTTACATGAGAAAGAGTATTAATACCCTCACATGCTTCATAACAAAATAATAGGTACATATAATTATTTTAGATTACTTACCAATGTGATGACTTCAGAAGACAATGAAGTTTGTGATCTTCATTAGAACCTGAACGGAATAGCGAAGATAATTGTCTAACAAAATCGTAATTTGACGATGTTGTTTCAAGTATAAAGGAGAAGATTAAGTACTGTGAAAACAAGAGTATGGGCATTGAGAAATTTTACAAAAATAGAAAACTGTTCAGCAGAATGTGGGCTAATATAAAACTATTTAATTGTGTTGACGTTTAAGATTGTTTCTTCTTCAAGACACTGCAGGTTATTAAATTTTACAAATTTTATTTTTCGAGTACTGTATTAGGTATATGAGACAAATAATCTTCATCTTGAATACTCACTCGTTCAATGTGAAATGCTATGTGTACTTTAGGATTATTTCTATGTAACATATTTTTACAGCTTTTAATTCCCGAGCGTAAGCAAAGGAAATATTGTAATAGGCCGACTCTCTGCTTGACGACAATATGCCTACAAAAAACATAAAAATTAAAAAGTATGAAGGACGTAGCGTAGATTTATATATAGTGTTGCATGTAGAAAGTTCTGATGGTTTCCATCCTGGTTGCAGTGTTCACCTACGTTCATCGAATAACGACCGTGATTATCATAAAACAATGGACTCCATTTTATTTAAGCACTGGGTAATGTCCTCTCTGAAAATAATTGTAAAATACCGTGTAGTCAGAAATTACTGACTCGGTTAATAGTACTTTTTAAACAAAAAATGTGAACTTTTCCTGCGTTTATGTTGGCAAAAGGGAAGTAACTGTGTGACAGATACGTCAATCGTGACGTGGGATGATAAATTTAGCTCATAAGTATTTTGGATACATTTTGCAAATTAAAAATGTGAATAATCTGTCAATCTTGACAGCTGACAACCGGAAATTATTGAGAACATCATGATACCAATTTCAACTAAAAATCCAGAATTGTCAACAGACTCAGTCATTTCTAATCACGCGGTAGTTGTTGTTCTGGATAACACCAGTTACCATTCTGTAAGGATAGAAAAACCTCCAACAAAGTCTTCACAAAAAGCGATTCTTTAAAATTATTTAATCAAACATAAAGAATCATTTGTTGAAAAATACATCAAAAATTTGATAGAGGCTATTTGACAGAAACAGTGAAATATGAAACTGATACAATTTTAGCCCAGTTTAGTTTTTTGATGGTTTGCGAATGCCGCCTTATCATTGTCAATACAACCCAATCGAATTAGTTTGGGTACACTGCAAAAGTCATTATGATATATGTTGATCAAAATCGAAATAACTACCAAAGTTCTTTCTTTGACGAACATTCCTTATAACAAAATTTTCATCACAGTCCAATTCGGCAAACCCTCTCCCAACCATCTGGTCTGCGATTAAGCCGTCATAAAAATTAGTGAAAGTCAACAGACGCTTGAGGTCGAATCCGCAAAATATTTCTGGTCATACAATACCACAGAATTCACGACGTTGCTTTATACTCCATCTACCACAAGAGACCAAAACCTTACATTTTGTAATGAATAAATGTAATAGAGTAATACATTTTGTCTCAGAGTACTGATATCAAAATCCTGACTTCACTATTTTATTTGAAATACCATTTTTATTCAAGTTTCTACACTTTTCTTTTATGTAGATGGGTCGCTACAATAGGAAAAGAGAAAGGAAAAAAATGTTGTTTTAAGTTTCTGCGGTAAAATAAACTTTTTAGGTGCTCTTAAATACTATATGCGTACTCTTGGCCATCTTTCCCCTAAAGTATGACGGAAAATATAGCGCAGTTATGGTTTAATTGCTACTCAACTTAGAGTCTAGTAATCTTTAGGACTTTCCTAAAGTGGGTTGCAATAAATTTATCTGCCTGACCGCACCGTTTCGTATTTTGAAGTATATAACAAATAATAGTTACTTGTGTACCAAGACCAAAAATGTTTTTTCGGATGAGTGTGATGATTTTAATGGTCGAGGCGATAGCCGAAGCCAGAAAGTATGCCAGGACGCAACTATTTATAAAAGATCGTCTCTAAAATGCTTATGAAGTCACAATACCTTCAGGAAACTTTAAATTTGGCTTTGTTTTTTAGATCCACACGAACAATGGCTTGATTCATATGAAGAAAAATCTACGACTACTCCAGGTAACGAACGAGAAGTGACTTGCAATCAGCAAAAGGCGTCCTCAATGATGTTAATGACGTTAATAATTTTCGCATTGATAGTAAATATACTGTAGGTTAGTTTTCAAGTAATGTGCGAATAAGTGATCGGTAGTTACGCTAGGTGTTTGGGGATGGGGTGAGATTAGAGAATAATAGTATAGGAATGCCGTTCATTACCGGGCAGTGGTGGGTCTAATTAAAAGTAATATTAATAGTTCTTTATTTTCAAATGAAGAAGAAATAAAGTCCAGTGTTAGCTATTCCCACTTAACATATTCTTAGAAAATTAACATAAACTAAATACATATATCAACCTTAACAAAAATTTAACCAACGAAATCATAACAAATGCAAAATAAAAAAAATATATTAAAACACGGAAGCCATTCGAAGTTGAACTAGTTTAATACATCACTGGTATTGTATAGTGAAGTGATTTTGAATAGTGACACGTCGAACTCATGTTCGCGACGTACCGGAACTCTATGCTGAAGGTGAATCTATAGTATAAATTTTTTAAGTTTTGACAGTCCGTGTTTAGGGTTTATATCAAAATAGCTGATAACGGAATAATTAATAATAATATAATTAGACTGTCACAAAGTATTTTCCGTATTTTGAACTTTATTATAGTATAATGGCAATACAATAAGTTTAGAAACCAATATACTTTTATCAGTAAAATATGTATAAACATAGATAACTTTTGAGTAGCATATTATGTAATAAGCTTTACCTCTTTAGACACGAGTTCATTTAATGCTTTACAATTACGAGTATTTAATTTTAAACCTAAATGATAATTAGGTTAAGTTATTTTTGTATGTATTTTTAAAAATTTCTTGGACCCAGTGTACCTAACATAAGTAATTCCGTTGTATACACAAGAAATAGAAGAGACGCCAAAATTTACCTTTGGGTACACCAGTGCAGTTTATTATATCAACACATGAGAAAATATCATATTACATTTATCCGATTTCATAGTATTTAATGTCAAACTATTATTTATATTCCAGCTTTCCTTTAATTTGAAGTATTGTTTGTTATTGCATTAATGTCCATTGCACTTATAACCATAGGTGCGTCGTCAAAAATAAATGAACTGTTTCTTTATTAATATTATAAGGAAGATCACAAGTAGTAAAATACTGAGGAGATTCTGCTGTAGTACTCTAGTTGATAGTTGGTGCAAATTTGAATCTTGTTTTGGGACATTAGTTCTGCAAACTGTTTCTTTTCTTCGAAAAAGGCTTTAAATCATTTAGAGAGAATCATAAAACCTCATAAAATTCCAATTTTCTGCACAGCAAAGTATAATCGATTGAAAATTGAATGCTGGCCTTTTATTAAAATAAATTGTGACTGACTTGTTCATTATATGATACCAGAACTGCAACTCTAGGGGCCGGTTACATAAACGCAAATCAAATTTAATCTCTGATTAACTCCATAGTAACGATTGTTATTATCATAGTTACAATTGTTCTTAATCAGAGATTAAATTTGATTTGCGTTTATGCAACCGGCTCTAGGTGTTTTTTCTTACACGATTGTTTTTTGTTTAGTAAATTGTGTTTTGTTAAGAAATTACCCAATTGTTGTAGAAAGGTATGGTTTGTTGCGCTTTATTTGATTTACTATTTTTCTCTTTGACCGCTCACTTTTTTTTGTAAAATCATGTAGTAAAGTATTTAGAATTCTGTAATGTGCTTTATTTTAAATTTTTACTTAAATTCATTAGTTGATACTAAATTTTGATATTTCTCCAAATGGTACTTTAAAATAGTAAGGAAATTATAATTACAAAAACCTAAAATTTTTGTCCACTTTTCTTATATATGTTGCTTCTTATGATATCCAAATCAACTTTATTAGTCAAAACTAAATAGTCATTTGAGGCTGTTGAAAATTTTTATTGATAAATGATTAATTTGAATATCCGTCTGGGTGCTTGTACTTAGTATTGTGCTTCATATTTTGGAACAATACGTGTTTACAAAATGTATTACTTCATTTGATGTAGCTTCTGGTTTTAAGCAACACACGTCTAGATGTACAAATTCGATCTCTCATTTCTAGTGCATGAATGATGTGCCGGTAAGAAAATTCTGGTAAGAAGAATTTTTGTTATAGTTATCTTCGATTTTGTACTACTGACCATTTTTCAAATGTCTTTCTTGTCATATCATCAATCGATGTCTTGTCTTTATCCTTTGGATTAGAATCGGTTTTAAAAGCTGATGATTTTTCTCCAAAATTGTTAAGTTGTTTACTGCATCCATGAATGAGTGGGAGGTAACAGCTACTTCTTGGACAGGAGCCATTTCGCACGCTAGATTATACCTGCCATCAATGGCGGCACCTCTGTTTTCACTTTCACAATGCTAGACAATCACAGAAATATATTTTATTTATAACAGATTTTTATTCAGTTGCCTAACTTTATTTCATACAATATAATTTCGGTATTACTTACTCTGGGGAGTCATACTTGTGTTTGAATAAATAATTTAAATCATGTTTCCGCTGCAATTTATTATTATTATTATTCTTTAATTATATTTTTATTTATTACATTGTATCAAGGTTTCGGGAATGTTTTTATTCATTTGTGGTATATTCTAGTACCGAGTTTTTCTATAGTATTACTTCTTGTAAGACAGATTATCAGAATTGAGCTGTTGTTTTTCGTAGTCGCACTAGAAAACTGTCGTTTTTATTCCCCGTTGTGGGTAGTAGTTGTTACACGGCGAGAAATATAGTTTGTTGGTTCAATATTAACCTGAGGACGTTTTTTGTTAATCGTAACTTGTATATTTACTTTTATGAATATTTCTTCTAGATCCTCCTACACATAAAATAACTCTTACTACTACTACGAAACAACCAACAACCAGTTAGGTGTATAACAAATACGTGTAACTCTTTTTAACTTTTTCCTTTTCAGATATTTATCCAAACAAAGATAATGCAGTAACTGATTCTGAAAATAATTCAAGATCGCTAGAAGCTATCCCTACGCTTCAATGGTTAATACTGACAATTTTGCTCATAGTTCTCATGATGTCTATTGTATCTATTGTACTCGTCGGAAGGAACCGAAATTGTAGGAAAACCGCCTAGAAACAAACATGGTACAAGAAGACATAGTATCAAAGAAGATTAACAACATTTGAACAAGAAGCGACACTCGTGTCGGTGCCTTTGATGTTTTGGTGATCAGTTTTGGTGACCTTCAGCAATTTTGTAAGGGTGCTTAAACGCGGGAAATGTAAAGGTTAGTTTTCATCAAAGGATGAATTGACATAACTAATTCGTTTGTCATTTATGTCGGGAAAATTGGTCACATGTAACTTTGTCGCATTTCCCTTTTCTTGTTTCCCATTTCTCATTTCGATTTCTCATTCAGAATTGTTGCGTACTTATAATTTCTCATTTCGCATTTTAATAAGATTAAATAGTAAAATACGTATGTGTCTGTAAATCTTAGCGGTAAACTAATCTAACCTCCCGAACCAACGTCACAACAAAACGTTTTTGTCACTAATAGAACTTGGATTTTCTATGGTTAGAACAGTTAGAACGTTGAAAACGTGTGTATAAAATAAATGACGACAAACGTGTATTTTAAGAAATGCGATGCACGCCTACAATAAACAAAAATAGAGCAGTGCGATACAGCTTTAATAAACACACTGTCTGTACACTAGAAATCGTTTTCTCCATTTGATGACAGTGACGCTTCTTGTTCATATTTTGTTAATCTTCTTTGATGGTACTGCTTTGCGCAACAGCCACGTGACGTCAGATTGCCTTGAAAACCGTGCTTGAAACTCTTTTCTGACTATTTCGAAAGCTGTCAAATATCAGTTATTTGTGATGTTATAACGGAGGTCGAGATTCGGTTCAGTTTTTAATCACGGGTTAATTTATTTTCGACGGTGCTAAGTTGAAATCAGATGCTAATAACATGTGTTCAAAATTTGATATCGTTCGTTGATAGTGATAATACAAACATTCAACAAGCCAGAATTAAAGTTGGTGGTCGTGACATCCACATGACGTCACACAAAATGCGCAATATCATACAATGTTTTCTTGTACGATGGAAACAAATTTTCTCCACATAGATGTGATTACTAGACAGCCGATTTTTGTGGGGCTACATCACGATTGTAGGTGGGGACGCTTGAATCTCTGGGGAATCAGTACCGGGTGATAATCACTGAATTTAATCGTCACTAATTTCAAAAATACAATTAACAAAATTTTAATAAGTAAACCGGCTAAGTAAATGAGAACGGGAATTAACAGCAAAGTGCAACGAAGGAGCGTTTAGAATAGAAAACTAAAATAAACGAAGTGTAGCCTGTAACTGTACTGAATTCCCATCCCGCACGAGCCGTACCGAGTTTGACCTTCACCGCCCCGACGGTAATCCGCTGCTGTCTAGTGATTACGTTTCTATAGTGTATTCACTTAAACGCGTCACCTCTTTCTATCCACTTTCCACGGTATACAGGGTTAGTCACGAGAAAATTACTTCTGAAAATAATTTTTACGCAACCCAAAATACTAATACACTATACCACTTGATATTATCTAAATTTAAAATGAAATGCCTAATCCATGATTGCTTTGACTTTGGCAGTGTCACTTTGACGTTAGTTCATTTTTAACATTTTTTTTTTCATCGTTTACTCCGCTCTAGAGCCCCATTGTGTCGACGACGTACGCTCAGATCAATCTGCGCTATGCGTGAAGCCGTAAGTGCTCTACCAATATTGTTCCCCGCTAATGTGCATGTGTTAATTCGCCATTTTTGCGTCACCTAGAGCCTCTTGGAAGTGCAAATCTGCAGCCTCTGGACCTCTTCGAGCACCCATTTACAAAAAAGCCGTAGCATCCCCGCAAAATGCCCAACATTTTCAACAGTTGTAGTAGTTAAATTATTTACTTACTTTTTTGAGTTTATGTTGTAACCTTTGAATAAAATGGCGCAAAAAAAATTTTTGGAAATAATTTTCTCGTGATTAATCGGTTGCAAAAAATCAAAAGGCACTCGAAACGAGCCCTGACAAATTTATTAGCGGCGCCAGCGCAGATCTCCGACCACCATGGACACTCGCGTAACCTCCTATTCCACAATTGTCAAAATGACATTGCCAAACTCAAAGCAATCATGGATTAAGCACTTCATTTTAAATTCAATTGGTATCAAGTGATACCTACACGGTATTTGTATTTTGGGTTGCGTAAAAATAATTTTTAGAAGTAATTTTCTCGTGACTAACGCTGTATATAGATACATAAATATATATCGTGCGCTACAGTAATACCCCCTCCCCCTGCTGCGCTGGAGCGTAACGAAGGTTGTTTGCTGTTTGAGTGTATCGCAGACTGCGATACACGATATCCGCCACAACGTTATCAAAGTTCTCAATAATTCGTTTTTTCATATTTAATTTTTATTAAAAGAAAACATTGCTTCACAATATAAAATGACTGGGGGATGTTTCAGAAGCAAAATAGAAATGGCTAAAAACTTTTGTGCATTTTTTGTAAAACATTTTCTCATAATGTAATCGCTTAAAAAGTAAAATAAAAAAATCTAAGGTTGTTTCGATAGAATTCCCTTCGCCCTTAAATGTAGCTACAGTCCAACAAATCCGCTCCTTTCAAAAATATAAAATTCGATTTTGCGATTTTTGTTTTGTGTTAACCTCCCTAAAATAAGAACCAGTGGCACAATGACACTCCGTACGTCCTGCACCCCAGGGGTTCAATTTCCAAGGGGGCGCAATCCACACACGTACGGACAATATGAAATATATTTAAAGCATACAACCCCAATGGAAAAAGTGTATCAGTGTACATATTTAACTTCGATTGTTGACTGGTTCTTAATTTGATTAATAAAAAGTTAGATAGTGATTAATAATAATTTTATTAAATTTATTTCATTTAATTAAAAAAAAGCTGGCGCCAGTTTCCAAGGCTCGATTTTGAGTCTGCGAGCCGGGTGCTTTACAAACTGAGCCATGCTAGCCATGGTTGTACACTACTGAGGTCTCAAACTGGAGAGAGTACGGTTACTGTTTGAGAGGTCCGAATGAGTAAGCAAAATACAGGAACTTCGAGTTATAGTTTACTTTTAGTTGTTGATTTCCCGGTGTGTGTGGCGTGTCTGCGCGGTTCTAAAGTGTTAGTTTTCTTATAATAATAATAAATTGTAATAACAAAATACAATTTTTGGATACAAAAATTCAACTGTGTACACACTTATTTCCTAAAACACTTAAACCAGTTATTTCTTAACCCATCCACATTTCCAACATTTTTATGTCACGCTGTAACATCTCCAAAACCCAGGGGCCGCTGGAGCCAGGGGGCACAAGGGCCCGTGCCCTCCTAAAATTACAACGTCTACAAATAGTAATACTGGACATAGCAAAATAGTAATTTTCAATATTTAAAAATTATCCGGAAATTTGTGTCATAATTATCAAAGCTAATTTTTTTATTTCGCTCCACTTGCATAAACTGTATCAAAATTTACATCTAAAGATGTTGTGTCTTGGATATATGCTATGTTATTGCTGATGAAGTGCTGATAAAAGCGGAGACGGGAACCAAATCATGGCACCGTTGCCATGGAAACCGTGCGTCTAATCGCGGTATTGCGCTGGAATCGGGGGCCTATTCTGACAGCGTCCGTAACGCATGCGTGTTTTAAGTTTCATTCTGCGCGAGTGCAATTGTTTGATTTTAAATAAAAATGATGAATTCGGTTGAATATTTAATAAAAAAACGTTCTCTGTGTCACGACGATAAAAATTTTATGGGAAGCCACCCGCGATTTAGTAATAAAAAAAAGTGTTCATGGCAAAACGAGAGACTTTCATAGATATTTTAGTAGACGTAACACGTATGATAAATATTCGCGGATGTGCAGTTGTGAAAAAAATAAATAGTTTTGTTTTGTGTGCCTTCTCAGTAATGAGTTAAAACCATCGCCCTGGATTAACACTGGCGTGGATGATCTATGACACTAAGGTACGTGGACAAATACTTTTTTACTTTTATTGAATGTATTTTTGTATTTATTTTCGTCACACAATTTTGTCTATTAATTAGTAATAACAACCTGTTTTATATCTTCATATTTAACTCATCAATCAAATTGTGTCCCCCCACTTCAAAAGGTCACGAGCCGCCACTGCTAAAACCTAAGGATGATGACACAACAAATCCATCAAAATACAGACCTATCACATGTTTACCCATGGTACAAAATTCGCAATATCATGCCACATTTTGTGAATTTTGGGTGACGTCATCTGGATGTTATGACCGCCAACTTTAAATGCTAGCTTGTTGCATGTTCGCCAACGAACGATGCCAATTTTTGAACACATGTTATTAGCGTGTGTTTTCAACTTAGCACCTTCGAAGATAAGTTAATCCATGATTAAAAACTGAACCGAATCTCAACCTCCGTTATAACTAGAGAGCGGATTTCTGTCGGGCTACGTCACGATTATAGGTGGGGACGCGTGAATCGCTGTGAATCAGTAGCGGGTAATAATCAGTGCATCTAATTTTCACTTATTCCACAAATACAATTCACGAAACCTTAATTCATAAAACAGCTAGGTAAATGAGAACGGGAATTAACAGCAAAGTACAACGAAGCACCGTTATTTTATTCGAAAATAGACGAAGTGCAGCTAGTAACTGCACTGAATTCCCATCCCGCACGAGCCGTACCGAGTTTGGCCTTGCCAAGCCCGACAGAAATCCGCTGTCTAGTTATAACCTCACATATCGTTGATAAATTGACATTTGACAACGCTTTCGAAGTCGTCAGAAGAGCGTTTCAAGAACGATTTTCAAGGCAATGTGATGTCACGGACTGGTGCGCAAAACAGACGAAAATTTATCCACCGGAGTAGCGTGCCATGTTTTTTGTACCATGTGTTTATCTACAATTTACAAAATACTAACCTCATGCATAACACAAAAAATCTATCAACACTGTGTGATGACCGAATTTTAATCAAATTTTCGCGGTGAAAAAAATTAACAGCAGCGGGAAATAACTTTTGAATAATTTGAATTAAAAAAAATCAATCAAAAAAAATCGTTAAACATAAGCAACCATGTGCACGTTAACGCTTTCGAGTAGTGGGAAGTAGTCTGTTTGAGATTTTAGTTATACTCTGTTCAAATTAAAGAGTCAATGATCACGTGAAAGGTGCATGATGCATCCTGGAGCCGAGTGCGTCTAGCCCGTGTTACACTGTAAAGAAACAATGACTAAACAATGAAACGCACCGGTACCCTCCCCCAAATTTGTCGACCAACAGACAGTTGAACACGCGCTGATCACGCGTCTTTATTACTGACTCTTTCACTTGAATGTACTATAGAGGGCGGCTTAGTAGATAAGATGGCGGCATGGCGAAAGCAGGGCTATGAAAGTCTCAGCTGATTCCATAAGAAATACATGGGGAGCTTACGGAACGACATAAAGAGGTCACTAGCGTCACTAAAGGTGCTCCGACCTTGAAGAACATAGTTTCTTTTTCATTTTAAGGTTTTCGGTGAACGTTTTGTCTGGTTTTGTCAACAAGAAATGTCATATTAATTACGGGACCATACGGGATGTAGGGTTATGAGGTTAAAAACAAACGTAAAATTTATTTTAACAAAGTAACAGATACTTACGATACATGTAAAAAATACTAGAAAATTCCAGGCTAAAGAGGTCAACAAACTGCAGGTTAAACGAAATAGTTTAATTTTCGATGTGTGCGTGTTTGAGCGGTCCAAGATTTATTTTTAAATTTTAGTGTGTAAAAAATTCCAACTAATAAAAACTGAAACGAGGTAATCAAGAGGAAAGTCTTTGTAGGGGTGGTGGAATGGTATTTTTGTATGGTTCGTTTTTTAGCCGCAAACCAGTTAACGACTACGGTGCATAAATTGGGAAAAACTCATAAAATGTATTACCCATCGGAGTTTAAACTACAAAATGTTTAGGTGGTATCATTAAATCCCCAAAAATCACATCTTCATTGAAGACTTTAAAATGTCACACAATTAAAACAGGATGTACCACTTCGTAAGAATGTGCAAAGTTCACAACAAACTTCGCAGAAGTGGTGATGTAAGAATTTTCGTATTAATGAGTATCCACAAACATACCATAAACAGTTGTGTTCTTTCAAGGTGAGTTTCCGGTAACTCACATCACTTAATGATTGTTGAAGAGGCTGGAATACAGAGGAGATGTGTTGTGGAAGTTTGTTTAAAAGAACACCTTAGCAAATTTTTCATTTCAAATAAAATAGTGTTTCACAGTTGGTTCTTGCACTCGTATCGAAATAATCTGTAGCAAATAGTTTCCGAAACACACTTTGGAATTGTGTTGGTGTGGGATTTATACAATTCCCAAATTGACGTCTCACAGAGCCAAACAAATATGTCAAACAATACTGATTTAGTTGCAGCAACCTTTTAGTGAAAATTGTAAACAAATTGTATTCTGTGAAAACTATTAAAAATAATAAGCAAAATGTTTATGTTCCTGAGGTTGTTTTTTATTTTTTTGTGAGTGATTTAAAAATATTAAGAGTGAAATAAAAATTTTGCAATTCACTTGTGGATAACAACTTATTTGTCAGACTTGTTAAGGATTTAATAAACGCAGTTTAAAACATCAAAATTGAATAAAAATGTTTTGCTTGAATATATTAATAATAATTTATAAGAAAGAAAAAAATGGCCAATTGGCCAATGTCACTAGTACATGCCACCCATTTTTATTTTTGTGTACAATTATTAGTATTATATGAATCACATACGAATGCTACGAAATATTTGAATCTTCGTGTTTCCCGGGAACGGGCTCCCAAGGTCACACCCGTTCCGCAAATATTGCTAAAGTTTCGTTACTGATCTACTGTGGCGAAAGCATGGTAAGCGTCATTGTTTTTTTGGTTTTGTGTGTGTGAGCATGGTGAAAAGACGCTGTAAGTTAGCTAGGTTAAATTAGTTGGTTTGGTAGTTAATAAAAGGGAGGAACGTTGTTTGTAAATTCACCAATCAGGTTAGGATTTTAATCGTTAACTGGTTCTAACACAATTTAACAGACATTAGATTTGTTTAAACAAACACTTGCTAGGAGATTTTATGAAGTTCACTGAGTCAGGGCTCGTTTGATTTTGTTTGTCTAATTATGTATAAGGTTTCTGGATGCATATACTTAAGTGTTACATTATAACACTTCTTAATTCTTCACGCAAGATTGCATTATCGGCAGTTAAACTAACAAAATGTCATAATATCGTGAACTGGCGGGGGATTAAAATAATGTCTTCCCTTAAGCAGTTATCATCGTTATCATCATTACGTCACGGAGACATTTCCTCGTAACGTTAAAGATTGATTACATCACCGAGGCATTTCCTCGCAACGTTAAAAATTACATCACCGAGACACTTATTTCTCGCGACGCTGACTAGATATTTTTGTGTTTATTTATCACGTGTTTTGTTTGGGGTAAGCAGTTCACGATATAAACCGTCAAAACAAATTATTTTAAGTAACCAATCACTTGGATCATGGCATAATGTAACATCATATAAATTCTTTGTTTGAATCGTTAATAAAGTGTGGCAAATATTAATATCATGTAAATCTGTTAGGTTTGCAACTTTCACCTCATACAATATTTCTATATCTCACAATTTTAACTTCAGAAATTTTCTTTGTTGTTTCTAACCTCACGTAATATTTTTGTCTGCACAAATTATATTTCACACCAGATCTCTTTTTTTTTATAAATCTTTGCTAGTCTTTTTTTGTTTTGTAAATATGTTGTTGATTGATGCTTCCGTCATATTATCTGATGTCCAATTTTAATCTCAAATAAGATTGTTGTTTAAAATTTCACAAGATTGTATGGTGAATTTAAATCTTGTTTATTGCACTTGTTGAAAACTTTGACACTTGTTCAGTTGTAGTTTAATATCAGAGTTATAAGAATTGAACATGGAATTGTCATCTGCACGAAAGATGCAGGTTGGAATAGAATTCAGGGGAGGGTCGAGATGACGTACCGCTGCCGGCTTCCACCCCATAGCCGGGACCCAACTGCGAGTTGCGATCGTAACGGCCTGCTCGTACGGCTTGTCCGTAATAGAGAATTGCTTTGCGGCAGTGCTTGCGATAGATAGAATCACCGTCGTGTGTAGGAGAACAGCCCCGACCAGGAGCCCCAGACTCCGCTCGTACTACAACACCCCCTATGGGATTTTTTGTTGTCCTCTAGGATGAAATTGACATAGACGATCGACACGCTCTTATGGAGCTCTGATGCCGCTGCCGCTGCATAGTTTTTTTACTAAAATGTTGTTCTTTTGTTGACTGCTATAATTTTAAATTTGCCGCCAGACGTCTACAATAACTTGTGTATTTGCACAGTATATCAGTGACGAAACTTCAGCAATATTTGCGGAACGGGTGTGACCTTGGGAGCCTGTTCCCGGGAAATACGAAGATTCAAATATTTCGTAGCATTCGTATAATAACTACTAATAATTGTACACAAAAATAAAAATGGCTGGTCTGTACTAGTGAGATTGGCGATTTTTTTCTTTTTTGTAAATTATTAATATATTCAAGCAAAACATTTTTACTCAATTTCGACGTTTTAAACTGCGTTTATTAAATCCTTAACAAATCTGACAAATAAGTTGTTATCCACAAGTGAATTGCAAAATTTTTTTAATTCACTCTTAATATTTTTAAATCATTCACAAAAAAATAAAAAACAACTTCAGGAACAAACATTTTGCTTATTATTTTTAATAATTTTCACAGAATACAATTTGTTTATAATTTTCAGTAAAAGGTTGCTGCAACTAAATCAGTATTGTTTGGCATATTTGTTTGGCTCTGTGAGGCGTTAATTTGGGAATTGTATAAATCCCACACCAATACAATTCCAAAGAGCGTTTCGGAAACTATTTACTACAGATTATTTCGATACAAGTGCAAGAACCAACTGTGAAACACTATTTTATTTGAAATGAAAAATTTGCTAAGGTGTTCTTTTAAACAAATTTCCACAACACATCTTTCCTGTATTCTGGCCTCTTCAAAAATCATTAAGTGATGTGAGTTACCGGAAACTCACCTTGAAAGAACACAACTGTTTACGATGTGTTTGTGGATACTCATTAATACGAAAATTCTTACACCACCACTTCTGCGAAGTTTGTGTGAACTTTGCACATCTTACGAAGTGGTACATCCTGTTTTAATTGTGTGACATTTTAAAGTCTTCAATGAAGATGCGATTTTTGGCGATTTAATGATGCCACCTGAACATTTTGCAGTTTATACTCCGGTAATGGGTATTACATTTTGTGAGTTTTTCCCAATTTATGCACTGTAGTCGTTAACTGGTTTGTGGCTAAAAAACGAACCATAAAAAATACCATTCCACCACCCCTGCAAAGACTTTCCTTTTGATTACCTCGTTTCACTTTTTATTAGAGTTAGAATTTTTTATACGCTAAAATTTAATCTGCAGTTTGTTGACTTTTTTTAGCCTGTAATTTTCTAGTATTTTTTATATGTATCGTAAGTATCTATTACTTTGTTAAAATAAATTTTACGTTTGTTTTTAACCTCATAACCCAAGATCCCGTATGATCCCGTAATTAATATGACATTTCTTGTTTTCAAAACCAGACAAAACGATCACCGAAAGAAACTATGTTCTTCAAGGTGGGAGCACCTTTAGAGACGCTAGTGACCTCTTTATGTCGTTCCGTAAGCTCCCCATGTATTTCTTATGGGAACAGCTGACGCAGTCATAGCCCTGGTATTTGCATCCAGTTACTTTACTTCAGATTTTATTTTGTTTTTATTAAATTTGTGATTTTCAAACACTTGCATTGATTCAGAACGTTTAATTTGATTTCATTTAAATTTTATCCAGTTCAATAAGTTTTTTTTTGGAGCTGAGAAGCGATTGCGATTGGGCGCTCATTGGGCAGCCTGAGGGCAAGGCACAAGTCACCCTCGCACGCAGCTTTTTTCTTTCTTTTTTTTTTGTCAGTGGAGGAATAAATAATTTTGTGTCCTCCACAAATTTTGTGTTTTATTGAGCGGTATTTTTCCAACCTTGGGGTCCACCATTTGCATCTGAACACATCCCGCCCTTTTTCACAAACATAACGTAGGGTTCCATTTTGTTAGACGATCACACCCAAGGCCAAATTTTGAATTTTTAAATTCTCCGCGGGCTTTCAATTTTTTTTCACATGTCAATTTAAGGCGGGAAGTTTGGGTTTTTACAACTGTTTTAAATCCGACATCATCAACGAATAACAAAAAGGATCATTTGATTGCAAAGAGCAATTAATCATGGATTCCATCAACTGTGAACACGCTAGGAAAGAAAACAGAAACATATATACAGGGTGTTTATTTTATCTGTTCACACCTGCGTATTTCTGCATAGGCATCCCATTTTACGTTTCATAAACAGTTTTGATTAATTTTTATTTTTAAATACATACATAGCAACGATCAGAACCAAAATTATGACAAATTATTTCTGTCAGCCAAATATTTTCAATTTTCGTTTGCTTTAAAATGTTTTCGAATTTTGAAAAAACAGACATGCTGTTAATCTTGGGAAAGTGTGACAAAAATTTTGATGCTGCTGTTCGTCTCTACGCCAGGCAATATTCTAATAGGACTCCCTCAAATAAAGCGTTTAGAAAACTTGAAAAAAATTTACGAGAATTTGGGTAATCCAAAAAAAAAAGTTAGAAATCGAACTGTAACAACGCCGGATAATGATGGCGCTGAACAAAATAAGAGAGATAATATACATATAATGCATTATGAGTACTAAGTAGCTATTTATCATGTTCTCGATAACCTTAAAGCATATACAAAATGTAAAAGCAAGTTTCTAAGTTACATTGTACAATGCTGTGTAGTGTATATGTAAATAATATATATTATAGGTATATGTGTAATATCGAATTATTGTAAATATAATTAACTTAGCAAAATTTTGAGATGACTTCATTAAATTTTTGAAAGGAAAGGTCAAATAAATTTTGGTAGCCTTTTACCAACACCACCACAATACTTTTTGTAGTGCAATGATGAAATTTTGTGTTTGTGCAAACTTATATTTCTAAAGTGTTTTAGGATAACAGTCAACTCAATTTTATTTTGACGGGGTTGTTCATTTCGGTGTTCTTTGCTATTAATGAAATTTAGAAAAACACCAGAAGTTTATTGTTTATTCAAATGTGACAGCTTAATGTGCAATTAATGAAAACATTAAAGTTTAAAAAAGAAACGATGAAGAAATTGTTAACAATGAGGGAGACGAAAATCCTGCTGAAGTTGAAAACGAAATTATCAACATCGATTCTAATGGTGATGGTCCCGAGAATGAAACTTCGTATGTCTCAGACTGTACGTCTGTAGTAAGTTAATAAATATATTCGCGAGTACAGCAAACTCTTTTGTAAGCAACAAACACTCCTCGGACGCGTCATATAAGTATTTGTCAATGACACATGTCAGTAACTGTGCACTTAAAGATTGCAAAATTTATATGTTGGATGAGGTTGTATGAAAATGTACTGGAATTATTTAGGTGTGGAAGATTCTTACGTAATTTAACAAACGTTGTCAGAAATCTCTACTTTGTTTGCAAACGAATGTTTATTATACATTTGTAGGTTTATGTATATAGGCTGACGTGTGCAGACAAAAAAGATCAAAATTTGGTTCCCCGTATTTTTAAACTCGCTTCAATTGCGTCTGTTATAAAAAACTGTTTTTTTGTGGGGTTCAGTTAAAAATAGCTTACTTATATTTGGGGAGGGTACGTAGTCACAATGGGTGGTACCATCAGCAAATTGCGTTAAATGGAAATTATTAGTAGTAGTGACAGAATTTTAGTGATAGGTTTGTCGAATGATATACAAATATTTGTTCTGACAAGGTAAACTCAGATTTGATACAAAGTCAGCAGTGAATGCATACTGTAGTGTTATATGGGTAAATAGAAAGGCAAAAAACCCTATATATATATAATTTATTTAGTTTTGATCTTTCAAATATTTTAATAACTATCTATTTAGCAGTTACTTGGAGCACAGGTAACAACATTAATAATAATAATAATATTAATGATGTGGGTTACTTTACACGAGCATGCTGCTTGTTCCCCCTTCACCCCTTGCGGGTGTGTGCTCTCGCAAGATTTTAGAGTTTGCATTTCTCTTATGTGCCGATAGGTGGACATACTGGTTTGCTCTCTGTATTATCAACGGTTTGAACTTCTGCTAATATTTTATGCAAGCAGTTTTACACAACTGTATCTTTTAAACACACGTTAAAGGACATTCACTTCACAGATTTGGGTAATTTTAATATTTAACAAACTGTATCCAATATGATATATATCAAGAGAGTTCTGAAGCTTTTGACAAACTGCATTTAAAGTTAAATAAATTAATACAGTCGCGAACACTGACAACATTCGAGGAAATTTTCGGAGGATCTTAAAGAAGATTGAAAACAGCGACTACAATGTTTACAGCCATATCTTTTAAACATAATTTAAATGAAAGTCACCAATAGAGTGAATTACTTTTCAATATTTAACGACTATTTAAAATTAAATAGATAAATAAAAGCACACACTGAAACTTTTTTATTACTCTATCTTCGTAAATCTTTAATATGTTTTTGTAAGGACTGTTCTAAAATTGTTGTTAATATTCTACTACCAAACGTTGAACAACTACAACTTTTTGGCCTTAATAAAACCCATTTCTCTTGAGTTCGGTTTGGGTAATTTCATTTGCCACAAAAATGTTCAGTTACAATTTTAACTAAATTACACACATCTTACGGCTAGTTTATGGCTGCGTTGAATTGTCTTTCAAATTAAACGAACTTTTAACATGTTCAAAGAATTAGTTTTCACAGAAGTACCTGACTTTTAATAGATAACTTAAATATTATAATAAAAGTTGCCTTTATAAGTGTACCCTATACTGAATTTCAAAAAGAACCGAACAAACTTCTGCAGCTCACAATACACATAGTTTGGCACTATGCTATTTTGTAACTATGATATAAGCTCTATATCAAATATTTAACTCGGGAAAATTTACAATTTTCAAAGTTTGATACTGCAATAAAAAGCAATCACTGTCGTAACATTTTATTTTTATTTTTTTTGTTTTTACTATATAACTACAATTTTTGTGAACCAGGGCGAAATGGGCCTACAACTAAAGAATATTAAGAAAATGATTAAGGTAAAAAATAAAATTAAAAAAAAACCAACACTACGTACATATCTATCTCTACTGAATTCAATTGCACAATATTCTTTTTCTACTTTATTATAAAAAATTAAAGTAGAAGACAAAAAAATATACTTAATTCCAAAAAACTAAAGGTACCTAAATAAATATTTCCAGTTAATTCGATACTGAATGCAACTATACAATGACCTACTTTTACGAACAGCTTGAAAAACTTTCTCAACTGAACGAACAATAGATATTAAAAAAAAACTATTAATGTAGAAAATAAAATATACCTAGGAATTCCAAAAAACCAAAGGTACATAAATACTTCCAATTATGATGAATCGCTACGTTTGGTTCTTATGATATTGTCAATATATTTTCAGAATTTAATACCTCCCTTATTAACACATTTACTGTTACAAAAATTTAAATGTAACCTGTCCACAAGTTTCACTACATAATACGAGGAGAATTTTTTTAAAACAGTTTGTTATCTCATGTATTTTTTAAATTTTGTTGAAACTTTCACGTGTTTTAAAAAATCAATATCTCAATTATATATGGAAATTTTGGAACCCGGTTTTCACCGTTTTTTTCTTACCAAACTTTAGAAATCGTACCAGACATATCGTCCACTTTTTTTGTTGGAACTGAGATACAGAAAAAGAAGCATCTAAAAGCTTCTACTACACAAGCTTATTTTGACTGTTTCATTTCCAACGTATTTGGTACGATGGAGTTTTATCAACTGAAAACAGTGTTGAACACAGTGTTCTACAATTTCCATACATAATTGAGATACTAATTTTGAAAGATACGTTAATGCATAAATTACATTAAAAAAAGGTGATGATTAAATTGTTTTTAAAAAAACTGACCTTGTGCTATGTAGAGAAAGTTGTGGATATGTTATATTTAAAATTTTACGACCATACGTCCATTAATATTGGAAATATTACCTTCTGAATATGTACTGAAAATCACATGTAAAAGACCTAGCAGCTGGCCTTAATTTGATAATGAATCCAATTAAACGGCGACTTAGTTTTAAAAACAGTTTGAAAAACGTTCTCGACTGAAGAATATTAAAAATATATATAATCAAGGTACAAAATAAAAAACATACCCAGGAATTCCAAAAAAAAGTTAAAGGAATTGAGGTTAATCATACTTTACAGGAACTAGTTTCGTTATACAGAAATTTAAAGTAGATATTTTTTTGTTTTCTATCAAGTTTTAAAAACTGTTTGCAATAGAGTAGTTTCTTACGTTAATTTTTGCCTCTTAGAGGGATTAGAAACTATTGCTTCAAGTTGTTCCGTTGACGGAATTCTTGGTTTTCCTCGAGAATTTCTTGGCTTTTTATGTGGTGTTTCTACTTGGGAATGTTCTAGTATCAGCATTGTAATAGACTCTGTTTCTTTACTTAATTTCTTGTCATTACTTGTTTTGTTGGTGTTCTGTATGCTTGTTTTTTTTTGTACCGTTTTCCTTGATCCTGCGACTACTACATCAAGAAGTGGTGATTTCTCCGCTAAATAATAAGATTCTATTAGAAACAATAACAATAACATCTCATATTATGTAGACACTTTTTTATATCGTTGACTGCGTAGATTTATTGTTACCTATTCCCCTAATACTTTTAGTAAATTACAATGACACGTAACATTTTTACTATGTCGCAAAAAATTGAAGCATTCACCATGTTCTACAGATTTCTCAGCATCAATACCAAGTGAGAAAACATGAACACGTTGAAAGATATAAATCAAAAGCATATTTTTTAATGCAAATACAAATTTACGAATAGGAAATATTTCAAATTGTAAAATCTGTTTTAACTTGGTGTAAAAAGTTTGTATGAAAAAAACTTTTCAAACTGCACATTTAAAGAGCCCTAATTCAAAATCACTGCTTCATAGAATATAAGAAATATGTTAACGAGACTCATTTTTGCGCTGTTAACTACCTAACTATTTGAAATATCAAGACACTAAATAATAACATCGTTTGATTATTAATGTAGACCTAATTCGTTAATTTTTGAAACATGACATTCAAAATTTTTAGAGTTACTAAACTAATGGAACCTACAGCGAGACGACAACGAAATAAAGTTATAAAAACAGTGCCTACATGATACAACGATACAATTTCAATAACTTGCAATAAAAAATGCAAAAACCCAACCATAAAAAATAAAAAAAATTATAGCCTTACATGTTATCTAAATGTTTAAATCATCTGTTAGATCTTAAACTTCTGAGTCAATACTTACATAATAATTCTTTCGCTAATATGTCTTCGTCAAAATTCTGTAACATCTTTCAAATCATAATCCTCAGATTGAATATACCCTTGTAGTTCTAAAAATTTTCCACGAAATTTCTCCAAATCGTCAGCTTCACTATTAGGTACTTCCAGTTAGGGCAAGTTACGAAATTGTGTGTTTCCCGTATATGTGAGGTCCTAACAGTTATCTTTCGTTTTGGACTACATTGTCAACTGTACATTCGATAAATAATCTACTTGTCGACGAAACGTCAATAATCTTCTTTCCATTCCGAATCTTTTTCTTGACAAACTTTTTGTACTTTGGGGTGGTATTCACGCATCTGAAATTACAAAATATATTTGTACTACGTATTTTTTATAAACATTTTATAAAGTATTGCAATATGTGATTACATATTTTAAAAATTTTATTTTACCTCTTTACATCTTTTAGGAATTCTTTCTTTCCTTGTTTTCTAGGTTTTAATTGAAATCTTAATGATACTCTTGTCAAGGGTGGGCTTTCAGAAATCTCGTCGCTGCTACTCCTGCTGTAGTCCGTGGGTATATTATAACAATCATCCTCACTTAGCTTCCGATCGGCATAAGGACCACTTTGTTCACCATTCGGGATTGTGTATTTAGAAGCTGAAACAGTAATTTTTTTAAGAAAACCGATTAACTTACACTAACAAATATTATCAACAAAATTAATGATTTCAAGAGTGTTTCCTATTCACAATGTACAAAACAGTATGCTTTTACATCTACGACATGTTAGTCCATCCTTATATTTTGCTATGAATAGGTTTTTGAAAAAAAAAAAAGTTAAAACAATACAAAAAAATTGGTCTAAAGAGTTTAGACAGTACTTCTCTCGCTGTCGGAAACGTGACGACTGCATGCCTATTATGTTTTTTTTTGCATTAGATTGCAAAGCATTCGGTTTTGTAGTTCTTGATTAATTCAACAAAATAAATTTGCGCATTCATAAAATTTTTTGAGTTACCCTGTATATCACCAGATCCAAAAAATATGAATGGAATGATAAATTACAAGAAGAGACTCATCGTATTTTGTACATTTTAGATAGGATAATTCGGCAAAATTTTGAGCTGACGTCATCAATTTTTTGGAAGGGATAAGCAAATATATTTTGACTAAAAATTTCTTATGCTCTTTATAACCTTAAAACATTTGCAAAACTTCAAAGCATTCGGTTCTGCAGTTCCTGATTAAATCAATAAAATCAATTCACGCATTCATTAATTTTTTTGGGTCATCCTGTATACGCAAATCCAAAAAATATAAATGGAATGATAAACCACAAGAAGAGACCCATCATATTTTGTACATGATAGATAGGATTTATTCAGCAAAATTTTGGGGTGACGTCATCAATTTTTTGGAGGTGATAAGCAAAAATATTTTTACTAAACATTTAATTAGGCTCTTTAGAACCTTAAAACATTTGCAATATTTCAAAGCATTCGGTGTAGTTCCTGATTAAATCAATGAAATATATTTACCCATTCATAAATTTTTTGGGTCACCCAGTATATGCAAATCCAAAAAATATGAATGGAATAATAAATCGCAAGAGACCCATCATATTTTGTACATTTTAGATAGGATTTATTCAGCAAAATTTTGGGGTGACGTCATTAATTTTTTGGAGGTGATAAGCAAATATATTTTGACTCAAAATTTTTTATGCTCTTTATAGCCTTAAAACATTGCAAAATTTCAAAGATCTTTATTATAACTTTCGGCGCTGCCACAAAAATAAAATTCGCAAAATGGAATTTTATAATTTTTGGAAAAAGCTGAATTATATTGTAATGTACATCTTGGGCCGATAAATTTCTGACTAAATAACCTTAGACCAATGTCTTCTAAATTTTGAATTTTAATTCCAGATAAGTGAAAAAGTAAAATGGCCCAAAAAAATCGTGACCGTAAAGTGAACATTGAATTTAATTTTATTGAAAAAAATCCGATTTTGTTGAACCCTGGTACCTATCCAAATTGATACAACTTTGCAACAAACTTCATGACGTTAGCAGTGTTAGCACATAATTTTATTATGAAAAACTCACTTGAAACATACACCAAGTATCCTTCCTTACTCGCAATTTCAACAGTGCATACATTTCTTTTTACTTATAGGCGTTGTCATGAAAAAATAAAATTCGCAGAATCCAATTTCATAATAATAGGTGAGGAAAGTTCTGTCTAAATAATTTTTTACTATTTTTTCAAATTTACGCATGCGAAATAAAAAAATTGTGGAAATTGCTGAACAAAATTTTATAATTTATATAACAAACCATGTAACGAATTGCTTTTTGCCGTGTTAATCGTAATTTCAAAGAATGAAAGATTTCTTTACAAGATAAATTAGGAACTGGCAACTTTTACTGAATTTATTTTGCGAACTTTAAAATTGATGATGTTTAAATTAACAGAAATGCATCTATCGATGTAAAATAATTGGAACATGAATTCACCGTCCACTCTGCAACAAGTTCCATGAAAATAACGTCTGACTTAAATGTCTTTACATAAAGGGAGGCAGTGATTAATAAGCGTTTCCAATAAACATTGTCTTTCTGCCTCTATCATATTCTACATGCACCACTTACAGCCTCCCTTTTACAATTAGATGAAAACTTTGGATCATACCGTTACGTGCAAACATTAAAAATAAATTTACCTGGTCTTGGCCTCCTCTGATACCAACATTTTCTTCAGTCCTCGCCGATGCTCCTGGTAATTTTTATGCAGAAGAGGCTCAATGCGAATAAATCCTGAATGCTCTTTTTGTTCTTGAATAATTTTCATTTTTTCAATCAACATAACACGTGCCTGTTCCGTATTCACGTTGCACACACAACACATAAGAAGTTGAAAAACTTTACTGCACCACTGTACTTAACACAACTCAATTTAACGCAAATTAATTTGCCAATGACATCAATCGCAAATTATTGTCGGTGCAGCACCCGCTGAATCGACTTCGTTCGCACTCCTTCGCACTATCGCATTTTTTGTTATTCCTCCCGCGCTGTCTGTGCTTGATAGTGGCAACACAGCTGCACAGCTGGGAGTGTTACGCAATATTTTAAATAGAAACACTGCAGAAAAATGTATTGTTTAAAATAAAGGTTACCCATTTGATAAAAATTTCACGAGCGTCGGTGCTCGTAACTGCACTCTCGCCTCCTAAAACATTTTAGGGCAAAAGTAAATTTTTACGAACTATTGTACTCGTAACTATAGCGTTTCAATATCACAATTTTCAACATGTCTCGTTTCTCTTGCAACGCAGTAATTTTGTTCCATTGTTTGCTGAATAAGGAAACTCAAATAAATATGATAAGACAAATACATTCATGCCAACGCCTGAGTATTGTGTAACATAACATAATTGCTGTGTCATCGTTGGCTTTTATTTTTTAAAGGAAGTAAGGCATACCTATATACGATTGGTCAAAATTTCCGAAACGCCGTTATCTTTTTCGTATCAACTTTTTTTAGTAGGTGTGCTCTGAGGTGTCCCAAATAAAATCCAGGGCCTCATATCCTCAGAACGGAGAGAAATTGAAATTTGGTAAACGCTATTGTTTTTAGTTTGAAAGTTTAATTCAGAACATTACAAATAAGACCACATACATAATTGGTTTTGGCGGGTGACGCAAATCTCAATTTTTTTAAATTGCAAGGTATATATTTTTGAAAGGATTTTAACAGATGATTCAATTGCGAATACAATAATATAAATATATCATTTTATTTCTAATCGATAAAAAAATATTTCTAAATATGAAAAAATCCAAGACGAGTGAAATAAAGTACTACTTTGTTTCAAACTGTTTTGAAAAAGAGTTATTTACGCATATGATCGGAACTAATACAACACATATAAGTGTTTTATATCACTGCAATCTCTACTTTACTGTATATTAAAATCCGTAAAAAAATATAATATACCGTGCAATTTAAAAAAATAGGGATTTGTATAGTAAATTAAGCTTCCCCTTTCAAGTTAAAAACAACAGCGGTCACAGAATTTATTTATATTTGTTGTCAAGAAAAGATGTAAGGCACGTAGTTTCGTCTGAGACATAATGTACATGATACAATGTAAAACACTTATTTATGACATTTCAATTTTTTTGCACTTCCGGTTTACCGGGAAATAACCCAAAATTAATAATTTTTAAAAAACGAAGTAGAGAAAAATATTCAAGATATCATTAATAAATTCTTTATTTTGTACTACACGGAGTGTTAAAAAAAATCACACATAAGCGTGATGGCACGTTGTTGGAAATCCACTGAAGAACAAATTTTAGCAATACTAAACTTCAATATTGAAGAATTAACTTCATATTCTAATCAGTTTTAATGCACATTATCAATTCCGAGACTTTGGTTAATCCTGAATAATAAAAAAATGGTGCACAAAAAGCTGCACACAAGGCGTTGGACAGAGCTTCCCGCGCCCCTAAAGCACAATCCAACCTATCTGCCTTCTCGAAAAATTTAAAAAATAAATTATTTTCTTATGAAGACACCCTACAAATTAAAATAATCATTTGTATAGAGTGTTCAAGTGCTAATAAATACGCATGCTTTGCGTATGTTTCAGAGGAGTTGTTCATAACAAACTCTAGCCATGTGACCTCTATTCTAATAAATATAAACGCATTGATAAACTGCAAGTATAGACTCATAATGTTTTGCATATTTTAGATAGTTATGATTTATTCGGCAATGACGATGACGTCATCAATTTTACTTACGATACCTTTGAAACATTTGCAAGATTTCCGAGAATTCGTGTTTTGCAGTTTCATGGATAAGTTGTAAATTGTGAGAAAATTTTAATTTTTTCCAAAAATCTAGACGTTAAGGATAAAAATTCAAGACTGATTCAGAAACCGCAAATTTAGAAGTAGGTTATTTTATAAAATTTGTCTGTCCGTCTGCTCTCTAGCTATGTCGATATATATATGACAAATAATCTGCGAAACTACTGAACTGATTTAAATAAATTTTGATATAAACTTTTATATGTATTTTTGGAATTTCGTGTAGATGACTAACAAAATTTGTCTAGTTATCTCAAAATTTTACAAATTAAATATTATTTAAATTTTGTAAAGTAACACATTTCTATATGTGCTTCAGGTTTATGAATCAGCTTTGATTTCTACTTCTCGGGTGTAAGCTAAGGAAGAGGATCCATTGGACGAATTGTTACTTTCATGTTTTCTCGACGTTTCATGATCCAGAGAACCCGAAAAAAATGATCTCCCGTTGCCGTCTGTCCCTCTGTCGTTTATGTCGTTTTTTGTTCCACAGATAATCTCTGAAACTACTCGACCGATTGCTGTCAAATTTTGTATGTATATTAGGAATAGCATGTAGATTCTAGATAGTAAAACGCCAACCAAAATTTGCCTCTCCATTTCCACCACCAATGCGATAACGTCATCTCCAAAATTTACAATACTGAAAGTTAGATTTTATAAAATCCACTTGTGGTTTATGAATCCCTGTTAAGTTTTCAGCCTATTCATAAAGATTAAAAAAAAATCAAAATTTAGTAACATTTTGCAAATTAACTTTGAAACTGCAAAACCCAATGGTTTGAAATCTTGCAAACTTTTTAAGGTTGTCACGAGCATGTTAATCATAATTTATCCGTATATCTCCAACAAAACGAATGAAGACATCATCTTAAAATTTTATCATATTATAAATGTATAAATATTTTTTAGGATTACTTATAGAGGATAACTCAAAAAAAATTATGAATTAGGCAATGTATTTTATTGATACGCATAGCATACCCCTTTCCATGTATTTTAACAGTCGATACCTATTTCTTTTTAACTAAGGGAAAGTTTGTCTAGGTAACTTTACACAAACGTTAGGATTTTTTACCATATACCATACATTAGCAGTGTGGACGAACGTTGTACTTTAAAATGATGTACGATTTTCTATTCAGTATTCATTTATTTTAACTCTTAAATGTGAAAAGAAACACCATGGTTTGTAAATTCTGAACATTGTACTTATAAAAGACGGACGCATAACTTTGTAACTTGTGAACGTCGTGCCAATGGCATAATAACTTATTAGCGAAGGCTCAAAAAAATTAACGAATGAAGCAATTTATATATTTTACTGGTCAAATCAAGAACGTTCACGCCATCTCCTCAAAATTTTGTTATTAATAAAATAAATACAAAAAAATAAATATTAGATACATTAAATCAAAAACTGCAAAGCCGAATGCTTTGAAATCTTAGGTTTGAAAATATACATACATATAAGTTTCTACACAGGAAGTGACTAAGCTTGCGCTCCTTGATACCTCATTAGTAGAGTCCGGAATTTTATACACGAAATTTTGCCAAAATATGTGTATATATGTGCAGAAAAAATAAGAAAATATGTTTTAATTTTACGAAAATATGAAAATTTTTTATAAAAATATACATACATTTTGTACTTTTTTTTATTGAGCATACAATAAACTGGTAGTGTATCCATAAGTCTTATAGGTTTAATTTAAAACAATATTGTGCCATATTTTAAAAACTTTATTTTACAAAAAAAAAATATTTGTAAAAAAAACGGGTACAATGATACATCAAAAAACACTTAAATGTCGGCATTAATATTATAAATTATAACTTGCAACTATATGTTATTCAATGTTTTCAATTAAAAAATTACGTTACCTATCAGACAAAATTTGTTTATAGGTAAAGAAACTCCTGTCTACATCCACTGATGTAATGGGTGCAAACAAGAGCGCTAATTAAATTTCGTGCTGTTAACCTCAATACTAGAACCTCCATTATGTATTTTAGCTACCTTTGATAACAAAATATAACCTTGATTCTTTTCTAGTACTTCCTTAAACTTTTTATTTATAAGTTGTCCTACATTTCCCTTTACTTTTTTAATGCTAAGTCAGAACGCTGTAAGAAAAAGTTAAACTTAGTAGTTGCTAAGATAATACTGATTTTGACAAACGTGATCCTTCTAATAAAATAGAAGGTAGGTGGCCGGGCTAAAATAAGATCGATTATAGCAAATGACACAGCCTCTAAAAAAGAGAGGGTGGGCGGCCGTGGCTAATACCTGCTAAGATAAAACTGATTTTGGCAGATGAGATACCTCTAAGAACAGAGAGGGCGGGTGAGCGGGGCTAGTACCTGCTAAAATAAGACGGATTTTGGCAAATGACATGCCCTCTAATAAAAGAAAGGGTCGGTGGGCGGGGCTAGTTCCTTTTAAAATATATGTATATCTGAGAATTGTTTGGGATTTTTTAAGCAACTTTTTTAAAAACTCAATTTTTCAATACACCCCATTTTGAAATTTTCGATTGTTTTTGACAATTTTCGAGATTTAACCAAAGACATTATCTTGTATATAGATTTCGACCTTTAGAAGTTAAAAGCGCCGACACTTGCAATAAAAAGTTCGCGTTATGCTTCGAAAATCTAAAAATTGGCAGAATATGTGAAAATATGCAAAAGATACGAAAATATGTGAAAAATATTGATACATGCAAAATATGCAAAATTTAATATGCGTCAATCAATTCCTATTAACCGAATTGGCCTAGATCCGAAAGCATTTAGGTGTAGTATGAACAGTCATCATTATGCAAATCTCATAAATTTCGGACTCTACTCATTAGTTATCAGTTATCAGAAGCTACAGGGAAGTTGTACGGTTTTTTGAGGACCATACACGCAAATTACTTTCACCTACACAGAGTGTTCTATTTTTCAGGAGCAACAGACAAATTAGTATTTTCAAATGGTGCATCCTATATATTTTTAGATATTCTAATTTATCTCGTTTTAGACTTTATATCCACAATCTATTTAAAATTCCATTGCTACGTTGGCAGGTTGTTTCAGTTTTCTTGAAATTTTTTAGCCGTGACAAAAACGCAATAGGGTTCTTTCTAAAATCTGCGATTAAATATTTTGTGGAGACATAAAAAAGGTACACTCTTTGTTGTGGTATATACTAAAATTACATCTTCTCATATAGAGTATTTGTAAAAGATTTTTTAATTATTAGATCTTTAAATATTTATATTTGAGTTTCCTCAGGACACCCCGTATTTTATTACTGCATATTATCATTCTGTTTCTGTTTTCTCAAATATTTTCTGTATTAACTAATTTTTGCGATGTTTTACTTTTTAAAAGACACACTGACACATCGAAGGAACGAACAAAAAATAGTGTCA